CACCTGTTCGTCCGCGGCGACGAGAGCATCGTGCTGGTCGAGGGCGTAAAGCACCACGGCCACTGCATCGCCCTGCCTTGCCGTCTAATGCGCCGTGGTTCCGCGTCCCACCAGTGATACAGGGATGGCTGCCCGTACCATCCCGTTCCATTAGGAGCGAAAGAAGGGCAGGAGCGCCGGGGCGACCTCGGAGAGCTTCTGCCGGGAACGCGGCATGCGAGATCATATCGTGCCAAGGGTCCGTGTGATGTGTCACCAGTGGCGATGCCGTGGACGCCGAGCCCACCAAAGCGCAGGGCGAGATGCGCAGCGCGTGCAGTCTCCGGGGGCAGCGGTGCATCCGCACGGCCAAGGAGCGTTGCGAGGCAGCGGAGCATGGCTGCATCATGTTGACCCGCATACCCGGCCGTAGCGGCAGGGGGCAAAGCTCGCAGGAGGTAATTGGCGCGGGGACCAGCGCAATAGTGCAACAGCAACCACGACGCCTGCAAATCCTCGACAAAGGGGATGCGCTGGAGGAAGCTCCTCTCCTCGCGCTTTAGTTCGACTCGCCGCTGGACGTAGGCATCACTGCCGAAGGGCGTGCCGAGGACGGTAAGGCCTTGTTGGTCCGGCGGCAGGGCCCAGTGTCCTGCCCAAGCGGCGGTGTCCGGGGTCTGCCTGCAGCGCGGAGATCCTCCCCGGCAGCATTCCAGATGCGTGTTTCAACTCAAGTCTATCTAGTCAATATCACATCCACAACAGTATTTTGACTTGAATTTTGTGTAAATCGTTACTATTTGGATTTTCCATTCCATATCTGGCATGTATTTGAGCTATCCAGCTTGAATTTCATATATGGTCATATGCACCAATTTGACCATTTCAGTGTCTTATCTAAATAAATTAACTATATCAGTGGATATACGATATCCATCATGATTAAAATCACATAAAAATCATTTGTAGGATCCAATATGTTGTGTTTTCTGAATCATAGTGGTATCACATTGAAGCCGAATATTTAGTTGATCTATAATTTAAAAATGGTGCAAATATAAATGATAAAGTAAATAGAATTGATAATATTCCAATGTTTTTTGATTGAGAAATTAAACCAGATAAAAGTTTAGAAATGAATAGTTTTAATAAAGAACATAGAAAACTGGAAATGTTAGTCGAGTCGAGACCTGATCGCCCGAAGGCATCCCCTTTAGGGTACAGGTGAAATTGGAAATCTTAAAAATTATGATTGACTCTAAACCCAAAATAATCTCTAAAATATAAAGGAATTTGGAAATATTTACGTTGAGCTCAACACGCCCACAGCGCCCACAGCGCCCGTCGGTAGACGAGGTCGCAAGCTCGCTCCGGCGTGAAAACGACGTACGTGTCATCGAGGTAGGCGAAGAGCGCTTCTCCGTCCCTGAGCTGCAACTGAACCTCCTCGAGCGCCTGTGCGATGTCATGCGTGACCCCTTGTGCGTCTACCCAGACATAGGAGCTGGGTGTGCCGTAGAACGCTTCGCGGGACACATGGTCAAAGGCACCGACCGCGTCTACGGAAAGGACGGTGGCTCTGGTGTCGACCTCGGCAGCCACGCGGAGGACGCGTGGCAAAGCCTCACTGCCGGCACGCGTGCTCAGTCCGTACTGGTGGGGGAGACATGCTTGTTCGAAGTGCAAAGATGCGTCTCGCACGCGCGCTCATCGCTCTGGCAGCTTGGCACTGCCATCCCCCTGAGGCATCACCTGGCCCGAAAACGCAGCCGCGCGCTGGCGGGGCGGCCGAAGCATCTACGCGGCCGTGTCGAAGCCGGCGGCGCGGAGGGCGTCGCGCGCCTGATTCGCAGCGGCCGCCGCGGGCAAGTGATCGGTGGAGGCGCGCTAGCGTTCCCGGACGACATTCGCACAACGTTCGAGCCCTTGCGCGACGTCCCCACTCACCGACACCGTTCACCGTGAAGATCGCACCGTCGCCGGCATGCTAGACATCAAAACGGTGACGCCCGTCCAGCAAACATCGACTCACACGTCGCTGTCCCCGCGGCAGGATGCGCCCCCCCTTCATGCGAGCGGCAGTCCGCCACGTGTTGATGTCAGCCCTGACGCGGCTGTGTGCAGCCCATTCGGCCGGTCCTGCGCATGGGACTGTAACAGGGGGATCCCCGGATGCCGGCCTCGTACGCGCTGGGAGTCGCGCCCCCTCTGCGAGCGACTTTTGGCTTTCCTTGACGACACGTACGTGACGGCGCCCCCCGTCACGCATGGCTGACGTTGCCGACAGCCTCGTTCATCACCTTGCTTCCCAAGCGCATGCCCATTTACATGCAGACGAGACGCGCGTGCGGAATGCGGCGGGCCAGTCTTCCACCCGCACCACACGGCTTTGGGTCGGAAACCCGGCACTCCCGAGGCGCAGCTTGTCCAGCTCGCTGCGACGCATGATGTTCGCACCACCTTCCTTGATAATCGCTAGAACTGGGTGAGAGAGGTGATGACATGAACGAGATATTGAAGCTATTACTGCTTTCTGGTGTCTTCCTCTAATTGTCTTGAGTCCCGAGGTGGGCTCCTTGTAAAGAGAGTTCTTTTTGTCACGTTGAGAAACCCCGCTGACCAAGGAACAAAGCTGTGGAACAAGAGTGCGAGACATGAATGATACTTGGGTTCCTTGCGGCGGTAACATTACTAAGGGCTAGAGAGGATATAATGCTGCAGGAATCCACGGGCCCTTCCTAAATACAGGTGAAGAATAAGGTGTGACAGGGGGAAGCGGTTGGCCTGGCATGCTTGAATACTTGAGCTGGAGGACGCACGGTCAATCTCATGTGCCCACCACAAGCCCCATTAAAAACATTAGAATTACACGCGCATTCGCTTGCCATTTTGATGTGAAAAATGTAAGTTTTGGGGTGTGAGGAAATGCCCCCATTGTAGGTGGAGGCTTTTCTCCTCTTTGTTCGTTCATGATTCGTGAGGTCGCTCTCTTCTTTCTCTCCCTTACAATCATATCCTCACAGCAGTCCCCTTGAAAACCCAATGACCTTGGTGATAACTGCGCCGCAAGAGCACGTTGGCGGTCCCTCGCTGCGCCGTTCAGCGAGCGGTCGTGCGTGCGTGCCAGGAGGGCAGGGCTCGCGTCGCGCGGAATGTGCACGCTGGATCGAGGTACCCGCCAAGGGGCTCCCGTGCACAGCCACACTCGCCACCCCAAGCGGCATCGAGCCCGGGCACTGCGTTGCTGTGGGGAACTGCTCGTAGTCATCGGGTTCTGACTGACGAGCTACATGCTCGGGAGGAGCTCATCAGCTTGGGGGCTGCTGGCGTCGAATGCATCGCATGGCTTGTTTGCTGATACCCGTAAAGTCGCTGGCCCCGAGCCATCACGGTGTGGGTGTGGCTGCACCGAACAGAGTGACAAAGTGCTCCGCAAGGGTGTGCGTAACCAACGCCCCTCCAATGACAATCCTCTGAATCCTCTGGCAGGTTTGCAAGTACCCAGGCACCAAAAGCTCGACGGAAATAGCAAGAATTTGTTCCCCACCCTCGGTGTGGAGTTGCTAAACTCAACTCTTCTCCTCGCCCGGAACTCTTCTCCTCGCCCGGTCTACTCCTCGCTCATCCCTGGAGTGTGCCCAGCCCCTCTTCCTGTAGTGCCCAACCCAGAGTCTCCCTGGAGTGCCCAACCCCAAAGTGTCCCCGGAGTGCCCAACCCCAGACTCCCTGGAGTGCCCAAGCCCAAGTTTCCCTGGAGTGCCCACCAAAGTGTCCCTGGAGTGCCCAAACCCACAGTCTCGTGCCCAACCCCAGAGTTCTCTTTTCACCAGCGTGCTTCTGACGCAGCTTCGAGCCCAGCACGAGTGAGTCCGTGAAGGCAAGAGTGTAGGAGCTCGGCGACGTGGCAGGCGAGCGTATGCGAGCATGCGAGCGGTGTGACTGGCGGTGCATGCCTCAAGGGCGAGATGTGAGACGCCCGCCAATTCCGAAACTTGATCCGGAAGATCCCGGAAAGCAACCGATGCGACACATTGCTTCGTAGCCATGGGCAGACATGAGCACATCAGCTTCGGGAGGTTTGACCAGGCCTAGGTTACCTGGAGTTCGTTCCATCCATGTGGTGCAGTTGCCCGGCAAGACCCCAAAGATCTTGCAAGCATTCATCGCCACGATCGCGTGTGTGAGAGTGCCTCGGCGTCAGTGCACGTTTGTGGAGTGTCATATAGCAGCACCTGTTGCTCGGGTGTTCGGACAAGTTGACACTAACTGGGAACGCGCACGTACTTTCCAGAAGTCGTCCAGCACATTGTGCCCGGATCGAAAACAACTCGTCCCATCGGGCAACGTGCGACGTCAAAACTACGTAGCTCTGAACAGTACTGCCCATTCTCCTGGACATGTGGCGCAATTGAGCCTCGCGTGTATCCTCATTAACATGGAAAAAGCACGGGAAGAGGCCTGATCACAAGCAACCAGTGGTGTGCTTCTGGTCACGTGGCGAAAAACCCCGGAGCCACAGCAGGTCACCCTCAAAAAGAGTTTCCACATGACTTTAAGCCGTGACCAGCTTGCAGCTTGAGCGCTTGGCCCGGTTGGCGTTGCTCCAATTGCTGGACTCGGATTTAAATGAGAGCGTCTGGGTGCATCGCGCCTGGTCACGGCCATGAAATCCGCTAAGCCGGTCACTCGCCCTTCGAGCGAAGGGTGCCGAACCATGATTGCCGCTGCGCTGCCAGCATCATAGACGAAACACTAGTAAGACGCACGTGCACTGTGCAGCCATAATGTACATAGGTCTGACTGACGTTCATTTCTGTCTTGATCCAGGGAACATGCATATCCAAGCTCATGTAAAGATCGCAATGCATAAATGCATAAAGCAATAATGATCCGTCCATGCAGCAAACATGTCATACATATCTCAAATCTGAGACGGGGACAGAATTAGCGACTGCCTCCATGCTTTTCATGGTGCACGATACTCTGTGCAGACTTTTCAGAAAACTGTCCATGGCCTGGGGCTAGAACTGCTCAGCATGCCGCCTGCCTGGCTCACGAGGCGAAGGCACGCACGAATGAAACATGTCCAAGCTTCCTCCAGAAGCTAGAGCACCAGATGCTTCTGCACCTGCAGTCAATGGGACCACGCGTAGGCATTCAGGACAGCAGCAAAGTGCCGTGAGCTCGCCGAGGCATGAACCCTGCAAATGGAGCACCCCACAATACCAGACCAGGTTCGCAATGCTTTGCGCCTCGGATTCGTACTATGCAGTTGCGTCTCTATTCCCGAACCACACGTCCCCAACCACACGCACACCCTCGCAACGTTTGGCATTCCTGTGTCGAGAGCCTCAAATTCCATGCTTCTTTTCGAGGCATAGCCACCGGTGACATCCGAGGCAAGTCTCCTGCCATTGCGTCTTCATCGTCATTCTCTTCTGGCTTAAGACTCTGAAAGATTCTTCGAACTTGCGGAAGGCTCGAAAGGGCAAGCGCCTCCTCGTTGCTGGCGTCGCGAAACACCACAACAGGGATGCCATTTCACGCGGCTTCCATCCGGACCTTCCCAGATTGGATCTTCTAACCAAGTCCTCTGCAAAGACACATCCAAGAGCGGGACGTACTCAAGCGAAAGCATGCCCCGGTCGTCTCCGTAGAGGCTTTCTGCTGGGCACGAAGTTTGGCCATATGCCACCCTCCGTTTGACAACTCCTCACAAAGGCCAACAAGAAGGATCTCATAGAGTCTCTCACCTTGCAGTGAAAACGGCGATTCAGAGGTCAACTGCGCATAACTCGCAACTCCTGCGCGGTGAACTCGATGATTCTGTGGCAGCCAATCACCGCTGCCGCATCCAATGGCAGAATGTCGGCCTCACACGACAGCACAGGCTTGGCAGAGTCTTGGCAAAAAACATTGCGCACCGCGCACCTGCTGCAGCACTGCAGGGGTTCACCCTCTGTTTTCCTTGTTGGAACAAGAACCGGCGCAAACATTAAGTCACTAGTTCAAGACTCAGAGCCCAAGCCCCATGCAAGGGCTTGAGGTCGACCGTCTCGACTGTCTAGCCGCAATCTCTAAACAGAAGAAGATATCACCTTCGGCTTTCGAGCGCTTTGAGACAGACGCAGCTGCTGCACCGCTGCAGGCACGCCTCGGGCAGAAACCTGTGGTGGTGTGATAGCACCTGGGCAGATGAGACATCAAAAACTTGCGGCACATCCAAAAAACTGAAAAAAAACTCGATGGACAAGCCCCCATGTGCAATGAAATCTCGCCAACGCCTACTTCGAAGTGGCGACATTAATTGACATTAGCGAGGATCCCAAGTCGCAATGATCGCGTCCACAACTTGCGAACATGGGAAAGAGTCGCGGGCACGACTTCGGCAAGCAAGATCAACTCTTAGCCCCCAAACCCCAACACTCTTAACCCGATATTCGAGAAAAGTACTCCACAGCAAGATGCATGTATCTAATTTGGGATCCGCAGCGGCGGAGCTGCAAGAGTAATCTAGCAATCTCCACGACCCCTGCATCATGTATCCAGTTCCCAAAACGGCCTAGCATTGTTCCAAGCTGTCAGAAAGAAACTCTTGATTGATGCCTATACACGCTTTGCTGAAGCACCTCCAACATGGACCAGGTCGAGGCATGCCGAAAAATGAGTACACCAAGAATCTTGGACGAAGACCGCATGTGTCCATGAAGTATTGGAAGGATTTTGTAGACCTTAGCACGCCCAGAGCAAAACCACGTGCGCACGTGAAGCTAGATACTTCTGGGTCCTGGCCACTGCCTTGGGGAATGCTAACACAGATAGGAACGAAAAACTAGCACGCTAGCTTTCGTGTCATCCATGATGAGACTCCTGCTGAGGCCGCCAATGATTGCCGCTGCGCCAGATGCGATGGCCTGTCGCAGAATGGAGCACCAGAATAGGCTGGGAACTGCGCACGACGATAGAGCTGTCCTCTGACAATGCTTCATGGAGGTGCCGCAGCGTCGCGTATGTTCAAACAGCATTCGACAGCTCCTTGCCAAACTTGCAGGTGAGCATTGCGCAGCATTCCCTATAACCCAACCAGGGGGTTCATGGTGTTCTTTGGTTCTTGCGGCTGAAATCACGTCACACCCGTTACAGCTCCTGGTACATTCTGTAAAAAATGGACGTAGAGACCGTGACATACCGAGCACAGAAGATTTGTCCAACCTGCATTCCGCCCTATACACGCTACGCCCAAGTTCACTGAAGGCGGAGAACTTTGCCGTGGCCGTCCTGGGCCTTGAAGACACAGTTGATCGGATTGGCAAGGCTTGTGGTGCCAGCATTGCCCGCCTGACAGCACCCAAGCTGCCAAGTTGCACTCGATGTACAATACCGAGCTTGCTCGAGCGCGCAGCGCACACCTGTTTTCTAGCCATAGAAGCAATCTCATCTGGCTTAGCCAAGATAAGCTTTCTGCGCTGGCACTCACAGATCTTCCTTCCCCTGGCCAAATCAAGGGCCGAAGGCTGTCACGCCTAAACAAGAACACACGCTCAGCGTCCTTCTTCATGCCCAGCTCCATCATCAGCTTTTGTATCTTCTCCATGCCTTCTCAGGGTAGCTTGCCAGCTTGCCATGAACCCAGAGTTCTTTCTCACTTTCCGAAGTTGCTGCTTGCAGGCCTCCAAACGTCAACTCGCACAATTTCTGCTCGACGCAAAACTGGCGCACTTCTTCACCCAGCGACACGGCCTCGGCTGGATGCGAAGTCGCTGGCATGCCCCAACAAACTAACTCTCACCTGGAACTCGCACAGTGTCAAAATGTGTCAAAGATCAAGCTGAAAAGCATCCATCATGTCTCCGATGTTCTCTCTCACCACCCGGCTGCAAACCATGTTCACATCCTCATGCTGCCAAATGCGTGCCAAAACTTATCAGAGCTTCCTTTCCGGTCCTCCTGGATCACATCCATCTGCCTCAGCTCAGTGTCAAACCTTTACAAAGGCTACAAGGACATGCTTGAAAGACCTACCCTGGCTGCCTGGAGATTGGACCCGCAAGGTCAGAACATAAGTCGAGAAGAACTTCCTGCGTTTGCTCCTCTGTTCGAATCATCAGTAGCGAAGGATGGATCATGGGCGGGGTCACAACATTTCAAAGGAGCTGTCCTGGTCAAATCTTTCGTGGAGGGGCCGCTTCTTGTTCAGCTGGTGCCTCTGCAGCGCAATGAAAACCATGTGACAACCCGCCACTGCACACCACAACTCAGACCCTGTGCCCAGAACTCTGGGGATCTCGCGTCTCCAAGACAGTCTTGGTCAGAAGGTTGCAAAGGACGCAACTAAGCCTTAGCTTGGTCTGTCAGAGTCTGCCATCCAGCGTCTTTGTGTCCATGCTTACAACACGCTTCAGGTTAGCTAGCTGTTGAAGATCAAAGCTCTCTTCAAGTAGGCTGCTCTTTACGTCTGAGGTAGAACGAGCTGCGCTTTGCCTCTGTGGATTGCCTCCGTGTCGCTCGCGTCAAAGGTCGTCGCGGCCTCAGCCCGTGTGCGAGCCGCAATCTTTAAGGAAATACGGTGAAATACGTGACAAAGATGACCTGCAAAGTCCCACGTGCACCAATGCCATTAAGTCCAACCTTTTGCTGAGGCTGCAGGCCCACTTTTGGTACTCATCATCTGGAGCCTCCATGAAACACCACAGGCCACTGCAGGCTAAAGAAGGCTACAGATCACAGCTTGCTGACGCTACAGATGGCTACATCATCAGGCCGAGAAAACAAAACGTGCCAGCATGCAGCCTCATTCAGCCGAGGTGCGTCTGCATTCGCACGGATGCTGACCAAAACGGCAACAACATAAATTAACGCTTGCATTCCAAACAGAGGTCTGACTTGCATTCCAAGATGACCGACCCTCTTGGACATCCTAACAATAGCTTGACCTTATATCTGCTGCGTGACAAGACTTCAGCAATGTCAGAAAGCTGTGGCACATGGTTCACTTTGGTGATGCAGTGAGCTCAATCGGCCGAATCAGACATGTATTCACATTTGGACCCTCAAGAGCATCAGGCCTGGTCTGCATGCAATCACCGGCCTCATCCAGAGCCTGACTGCCCCTCGACGAAAGGCGTGCCAAAGCTTGCGCAGCATTGGCCAGAGCCTGACACTGCGACTGCCCTGTGTCATGAGCATCCATAGTTGTCCCACATCCCTTCCTTCCAAAAGGGGCTTCATGGGTTTGGTGCCTATGGGCCAAGCTCCGGCAGCAGGCTGCGGAGCCTACACAATGACACTGGAATCAGATGAACATAAATCCATGGGCCACCGAGACTTCACCTCGCCATCATCTATTGAGCCACGCAACCTGGCCCACACAAAAAGCAACTGTTTCTCGCAATCCCAAAGCCCGAGCCGAATTGTCGAATGCGCTGCCCTGCCTCATAACCACGATGATGAAAAGTGTTGCTTCTTCCTCGTGGGCCAAAGCTAGTATCAATCGCCCGACGTCACCATAGCTGCTGCCTCGCCAAGCAATGCAGTGCTGTTGCCACATTGACCTGGCCACACGTACTCAGGAAGGCCAGAAGCTGATCTCAGAGCTGGCATAATGGCGTTTGGACGTCGACCTTTTTCCTTCGCTGACCAATCAAGCACCGACCACGGCTGGCGCCGGCCTATGCACTTTGTCACTCGCGTAGTCACTCGCGTCACTAACGCCACTAGAGGCACTAGCGCCTCCAGCGCCACCAGCGCCGTCGCGGGATTTGGTGCGCGGCGGTCAGCCGATGCCCAAATTCAGATGTCGAAGAACCGGTCGAGCAAGCGCCAGACCAAGCCATTTCGACGAACCTGAGCCAAGAGGAGCAAGGCTGGCCATAGAAGCGCTAAAAGGGCTGCCAAGAAAGCTCCAAAATCCTAGGGCCCTAGGGCACATCCCAGCCTCGGGTCTCCCTGGTCCCATCGACGGAGGCAGGCCTAAACACAACGGCTGTCAACTCCGCACCCGACTCTTGGAAGCCTTCTAAGGCGTTGCCATGTTTATAGTTCTTTCATGTTCTTTCTCTCTCTCTCTCTCTCTTCTCTTTTCTTCTCCTTCTGCACAGCATCCGGCGTTGCCCAGCATTTCTTGGCCCCTCCCGGACGACGGCTCTCGCATGCTCTCGCAATATCGACCCTGCCGAAAGATGATCCGGATAAGCGAGACAGGTGAAACACGGGATCGGCTGTGCCGCAGGGTGCCTCGTGATGGGTGTGTAATCGACGTGTGCCATTACGTACTTTCCGCCGTAAACATGAGAGGGCTTGACAAGGCTTACCTCATGGGGATGCTGCAGCTTTACTTCACCTTCGTGCACTGAACTCAGCCAAAGAAGCTCGAAGATGCTTTCACAGCAGTTTCAGATGCAGATAAACGACTGAGTCCCCAGCTTTGAGCTCGCGGCGCCTGTGCAAGGCTAGGGGGCGACAGTTTGAACCACCACTATCACCTTCGCGTCTCCCCAGATGAAAGATCTGAAGCTCTTTCTTTCTTATGCCCTGCGGGCTCTCTCTTTTCTTTCTTTGATTTCAGATCTTTTTGGGCTTCAGGCAGTTTTCGGAACGAAGCTGCGGGTCGAAAGGGGGAGTATCTTGATATCATCCGCACACTCCTCGGGAGTTGGCGGGACTCCCTGATGCCTATCCAACCCTCTACAAGTTAGCGGGCCATTCAGGGCAGACGTTGTGTCCCTGAAAAACGTGGGCGGCGAGATCAAAGCATGCACTTCTGCTCAATTGGAGGGGTTGTTCAGCCCCACCCGCTAATTAAGACCTCCCCTCTTTCAGAACAACGGCTGATGCGACCGCGAGGTTTTGTTGGAAATCCATTGTTGGTATACAAAATACATGCTGGCCTTCTTTCTTTCATGCGTGCTCGTCTCACTCACTCATGCACTCACTCACTCACTCATGGGGAGCCTCTTGCTCCAGGCTGTCCCCTGAAAGGAGGGCCTTGGTTGCAAGGCAATCGAAATGCCTGACTCATAACGAGCATTGAGTCTCCTGCAGCGTGGGTGCACGGGACGCAGCCCACCTCGGACGCGATTTGCAGAGGTCCAGTTGAAACATTAACCATAGATTTTCGAATGCATTTCTGCCGAGAGGTGGGCCATGAGCTTCCCCAGCAGGAGCTGTCCGTTTAGAGCCAAGCATGCGTTTGCTGCCTCCGCCAAGAGGTTTCGAGCACCCAAAGCCCGTTCAGGGAACAGTGCTACATTGCTACATCGGGTTGCAGCCTGCGAGCTCGCGAAGCAGACATGAACAAAGTTTCCATCACCATAGCAGACCTGGAACGTCAAAAGTTCTTCCAGGCAACACCTTGCAAAACACATGGTGCCTCGACGATTGGTCCACAAATTGTTTCGAGCTGCTGCCGCACAGCGGGTGCCTCGGCCGGTTCCGCAGAGCAGGACACTTCAGCACCACTGACCGGTGAAATGACGGCAACAAGTCCTACCTGGAGAACTTCCTTGAGTCTTGAATTAAGCCTGCTGCCAGTCTGCTCGGGAATCCGAATGCGGTGATCTCAAAATCGGCAGGACAGCTCAGTGTTGGCTTCCGAAGTTGCGAAGTCAAGGGTCCAGACCCAGCATGCGCCGCTTCTGCCACCGGGCCTGTAATATCTGTAATGGTTACACAACAGCCACACAAGCTACACCACTTACACAAGACTGAGCGGAGTTGCCGCAGAACTTTAGGCCGCTGCTCCCGGCCAAGCCCGAGCCCCTCCTCAACTCGGGCGTTCGAACCGGCAAAGTGCAAGGATATGCAAAAACTAACATGCATGAGAAACTTTCGTTCAAACTTGAACCCACACGTTGCTCTTAAACACTGTTGCGCTTGCCAAGAACTTGCCACGCCTGCACCGGAGCAGGATGTAGCAACAAACTATGGCCCCAACCTCCGACCAGGTTGAAGACTGGCACCATGAACACAAGGACCCACAAGGACCCACAAGGACCCACAAGGACCCACCATCCAACAAACTTAAGCAACCTCCAGCAGCTCCAGCAGCAGCCCCTGCTCCAAAGGATGAGTTCCTGTACCAGTTGCCCTGGCGTAGCTTCCAGAGCCAGTCGGCATGAACCAGCACTGAGCACATTGAGCGCGCATGCGACACGCATGCAACCTTTTGCAGGCCTGTGACGCTGCGCCAGCACTGGCTACACCTCCCGCCGTGCACTCAGGGAAAAGTAAGAACCCAGTTTCTGAACCCTAAGCCCGCTAAACCCTCTAAACCCTCTAAACCCTCTAAACCCTCTAAACCCTCTAAACCCTCTAAACCCTCTAAACCCTCTAAACCCGCTATCCTCTAAACCCTAAACCCTTAAACAGGGGAACTTCAAAGACACGTGTCGAAGCTGTCGAGGGGATGCAAGCTCTAGCTATAGGCACACTTGTCAGTCTTGGTTTTTCAATGACATCCCCGAGACATTGAAATCAGAAAAGCTGAGGTTCGCACCAGAGGAGCTGCCAAGCCCCTGCATGGGTGCCCACTCCACTGGATGCATTCCAAAGCTCATGCTGGCTCATGCTCCCCACCTGCATCGAAAAGACTTTGGGCACCTCTTCGCCTTCCTCCCCCATCGCCTCAGACCAAGCACGCGAAGCAATTGGGACCAACCTTCAACCGTGTTTCTAGCATAGATTCTGCCATTGCCTCGTCGAGGGTTCCCACCCTGGAAGGTCCATTGCCTCACTGCGGTTCCACTGTCATTTCCACTAACTACATCATCATACGTACTTACAGAAACTTCTACATAGGACATGATTGAATAATATGGCACATGCGGACACCAGCCTTGGTACGCCAAGCTGTTGCCTCCAAACGCCTGCAAAAAACAGGAAGCCAAATGCGAGGTGCGCCCTTCAGAAATTCACGTGGCCTCGAGCAGCGTCGGATTGGTCAGTAAGTCTCTGCTTGCCTCCTGCACACAAAACCCGTTGAGGCCCAACAGCAACATGGTACTTACTTGCACTGTCGCCATGTGGCCTGCGGCCGCCGTGGTCCGAACATCTCTCCACAAACATTCACACGTGTTTAATGTCTTGGAAGCGGCGTTTTGCTGTTGATGGTTTCGGTGCCGATGAACGACAACAGCATCAAGATGGTTCGATGCGTTCCGCGTGACAACCTTGCGTCAACTTTGACCCAGTTCTTGAACCATGACGACCATGCAGTTTTGCAACTTCGCGTTTGAGCCTCAAAAAGCACACATGCTGCAGAACTTGCACAATCGGATGCATGATTTGCATTTGCATCAATAAGCAACAAGCCAAAGTAAACGCGGCTTGTGGACGGAATCCATCTCAGCGGCCGACTGCACACAGATGTGCACAATGTCATCCTGGCGTGGGCAACCCCATTCCAAACACATCGTGTGACTAGCTCTTGGACTGCGGCGGCATGTGGGGCCAAACGTAGCTTTTGGTTGATCAGCACCTTCAAAAGAAAGATGAACCACGCAACACATTTGGTTGCACGCAGGCACCCATCCAATTAAGGCACCGACCGGAACTGGCGGCCCAAAGTTGAGACGGCGCATACCATTGTGGAACTTGGCCGAATGACTGAAAGCCACTTGTCTCCAGGTGAGACTGCAGCATAAAATGTTAAACTCTCCTTGTGCAGAATGCAATTTTCATATGATGCTTACAACACCACACCACTTTGCGCCACACGCAAGCTTTGGAACGGTTTCCAAGCGCTAGTTGTCAATTTGCTTGGTTCAAAAGCTTTACTTGCGTTTGTTCCCTGCGATCCACGTCGTAAGCACTCAGCTGATCTTTGCGCAGCTCCATGTTTTTAACTCTGACCTTCAACCTGTGCTAAAGAGTGTTTCGACCGCCTGCAACGACAATCTAAACTGAACACGAACATCAATTTGGTAAAATAAAGCGCAAGGGATCTAAAAAACCTGTGCTAAAGAGTGTTTCGACCGCCTGCAACGACTATCTAAACTAAACACGAACATCAATTTAGTAAAATAGAGCGGAAAATCTGGAAAATTCTGATAAATTCTGGAGGGCACAAAAAGGACAAACAACAAATATAAATGTCAGTTTGCTCCGTGGCCAGCACACAGCAAGCACCTTTCCTCTTTCTTTTGCGAGTCCCAGCGAATCTCACGAAGCCGCCAAGTGAAATTGGCAAGCAAACCGCGTTTACTGGTGTTCTTAACAATACAAACTTGAGCAATCAGCGCTGCTCACTTTTCCAGCCGTGTGTCATTTTTCGCGTTTGACTCGTGCTCTCTTTTCTTGCAGCCTTTGCATTAGATGTCGCAAAGACGCACAAAGCCCATTCCGGTTCGCGAATCTGAGCGCAGACTGCTCAGAGTGGGTTGGCAACTGGTTCTTTGGTTTGCACATATCCAGGGTTCAAAACGCGGAAAACACGTCAAATAGCAGTGCTTAAAACCTGTGAACAAAGCCTGTGAACTGCGCAGGCGTTGAGCCAGACGCACGAAACGCGGCTTTTTGGCCTGATCTTGATTTCAATCCCGTTCTAAAAGATCGAAACGCAGCAAGCAACCCTCAGCTCTACAAGACTCAAACCAAAGCCCTGCATGCTTCTCAGCCAACGTACCAAAACGTGAAACGCCTCCAAACACTTGCAAGACTCTCGGCTGCACTGCCAGAATACTTCCAAGCAGAGGAAAACAAGTCCAAACACCTCCAAGGCATTTGGAACATGGCTTAAACTGACAAAACTGTCAACCTCATGGCATTCAAGAATGCAGGCACACTTTCTAGGTGGGTTAGACTCTGAGCGCCTAAGTAGTCCCGCTCGTCGGGTAAGACAGCAAGATTTACCTTATTTCTTTGCTTGGTCAAGACAGCTGTCAGTCGGGTAAGGCAATGCTGTGCCCTTGTGTTCGTCGGGTAAGGCATGGAAGAAAGAATGCTGGCTGGTTGTCAGTTGTTTTTCAAGTAACGCTGGCGCTCGGCACTTTCATAGTTGCCGCTTAACCACAAGCACCAAGCTGCTGCTTTTCCTTACATGCACGCTACAAGAAAGGTGACGGCCACTTTTTTATTTTTTAGAGCGGACGCCCCTTTACCACATCAGCAGCACAGTGGGCCGGTCTATTGCGACGAGGTGAGACGGCCATGACTACCGGAAGCAGCCAACAGCACAGAACAACACACAACACACAAGAGAAAAGCAACACGGAAGCAATCCAATCCTAAGGTGAAACATTCTGCTCTCGGACGATACGGATGACGGGCGAGGGGAGTAGACCGGGCGAACAGTCGGGGAACTCCAGTGTTGCCGGTTTGGAATGTAGAAAGAAAGGAGGAAGGCCAGAGAAAAGGCATCTCGCAGATTGAGTCTGATGCCGCATTTTTTTAAACAATAAGAAGACGAAGTTCTTCTGGAGGCCGCATGGAGGCGGACCATACCACTCGGGTGCCCGTCAAGGACCTTTCTTGTGTCGGCGAGGCGGTTTTGGTGGCAATTGGGGTCGGGTTCAAGTCTTCTCAGAAGTTACTCTGAATTTAGTCCATGTTTAGGCAACTCAGGCTTGTGCTTTTGAGGTGATGCTTAGGACCATCGCCGGTGAACACTAGCATCACTACAGCACGGCTTGCTCTGGTGTATGTTTCCTGTACTTCTGTATGAACTGTACAACAAAAAGTCGGCACAATACTATGCCTTGCCGTAAAGCATTGTGTGCGGGCGACATCGATCGTTCTATTCTCGCTCTTGGCAGCCACGCTCTCGAGTCGTGCCATCACCTCATCCGTGCTTGGGGTTTGGGGCTTCCAGAGTAGCGCTCTCGATGATGACGACAGTGGCGGCGAGAATGATGATGTTGCGATCAAGCAAAACGTTGGGGCTGCTCCCTCCCGGCGCGTCTCGGGTAGGGTTTGGGACCGGCCAACTGCAGACCTCCAGCCTTGCATGCCGACTAAGCAGAGAGAACCGTTTGTCTTCGCTTAGCTGACAACAGAAAATCTCCAACTAGGGCTTAGGGTTTAGCATCTCCAGAATCTAGAGTGGGAAGCAAGACTGGCGACGGTTCATGAGTCAGTGCATAGGTCACTGCCCTTCAACATCTTGATGGCCTTACCTGGGCAGACGTGCTCCTGAGCTGCCTTATTGCCTATTTTTGCCTACAACAAAAAAAAGGCCGCATATTCCAAGCCTAAAGATCCTAAAGGATTCTGCAAAGCCAAACCCGGAACAGCGCTGCTCAGGCAGAGGCTCGGCAGAGAATGCCTGTTATCCGAACGACCCGCCGCTGGTGCCTCTCATGTAATTCTAAACGCTTGCCCGCCGCCCCGGCAGTGGGGCTGGAGACAAAGGAAAGAAAAGTCGTATGTCACTGCGAACTGGTGCCTCCTGTGAAAAGCAAATAGTATCTGTCTCCCTTAGGTACGTTGCACATCGCTCATTGAGGAGCCCATGATAGGCCGAGGGGAAGAAAGCTTCCCAGCCCTGGATCAAGTCATGTGTAGGCGCAACGCAGCAGGCCTGGATGGCCTTAGATGTTGCGATATTGGTGCGGTCGAGAGTGGCGAGGGCAGTCAAATGTCCGCGCTTTGCCGACCTCAAGGCCTTGGGTTGCGGTCCGCCTGACGGCAAACGTATGCCCCTTGCCCGGGACGATGTGCCACACGGAGGAGCCAACCAGATGGCATCGGCCCGTTCGATCTCCTGCCACACCAGCCGACGTTGTTCCTCATCACACAAGTCCAGGCGCACCGCCGGTGCTCGCACTTTGCGTGGCCTCAAGTCTTTGTCAATGCCAAGGACATCACAGCCCCGTGCCTGCATAGCGGCAGCAACGCCGGCAGTGCCACAAAAGATCTCCAGCCCGGAGACACTAAGGCATCTTTCAGGGCTCCGCCCGCACGCACGAAAGGAGGCAACTCATGCCGAGTCCCTGGCAGCACGAAACCAGCACTGGACATGAGACGCTGATGCTCCGGCTCAAGTCCAGACAACCCGCGAGGCATGAACGCCACCAGCACGACCCGGTTCCCCTTCCATGGCAAGACCCTGCATGTGACGGCAAAAGAACAGGTTGCTGTCGTACGGGCAAAAGGCGTCCTCGTCGCCACACACCGCGGGCATTTTGCCAGGAAGAGCCTTGTTCGTCCTCGACCCAGACCTCGCCGCCGGCCTCCCAGTGCGAGAGGGGGCATATCCAATTGTGACAAGATGCATCATTGTTGACATCTTTGTGAAAATCTGCCTCAAGATTGGTAAAGAGCGCTACGGCCCCAAAGCAATGCCCCGGGCGTGTCTGCGCACGAAAGCCGTCAAGAGACGCGATGTAATAGGAAACTCCTTAAGAAAATTACGCACCCCGACACGTCCATCTTTAGAAAAAGCACCTGTGCTGAAAGAATGTGAATTCGGGCGCGCAACACCTCGGGCTGGCTTCTCTGACGGTAACAGTTTCAACAGCCTGAGGATATCATTGCTGTCAGGATTGCTGATCGTGGCCGCGAGTCTCTCAGCAGGATGCTGAGCGGCATCACAATCAGTAGGCGAGTGTCCCACACCATGAAGGCTGCACGGCTTATGAACCGCTTCATGGCTCAACAAGACCGGACCCTTAGCCTTAAGCACACGCTGCAAATGGCTTTGCAGAAACTTAGGCCCCTTGACCAGACGACGCACGGACGCCCATGGATCACCTCCCTCCGGAGGCTTCACATGAGCACCAAGGCTTGGCCCTTCGGCCCCCCCAGCGTCAAGCACGGACACGGCATGACCCTCACGTCACGCCTTCTTGCTTCTGCACTCGACACCAGGATGATGCCCATAGCAGAAGCAACACCTGTGCAGACCTTTGTCGCACTTCGGTCCATGCACCTTACAGGTCTTCAACGAGAACCCGAAACACAGCGAGTTTCTCTCAGGATCCTCGGGCGTGCCTCCAATCAGCGCCTTTGGCATGGGAACTCGACGCTTCTTGGCAGGCGGTGTCTCAACATCCGCCTCCTTTTTCGGGTCTTTCTTCTTGTTCTTGCGAGTCTTCTTCTTGGGCGTCTCAGCCGCCTCCGGCTCCTCGGTTGCTGGCGCTGACCCTTGCTTGAGTCGAGGCATGAGTAACCACATGACCGCCGGGCTCTGCAAGACACGGGTCAACGGAACATCAAGTGGGAGCTCACCACCAGGTCCGTTTGCCCTGGTTGCCTCGCCCAACCGAACGTGAATCTCTCTGTCCGCCTGCGCAAGCTGAGCCAGTGACACGGGGTGGAAACCAGCCTTTGCCTCGCGTTGCAACTCATCAAACAAGAGGGCTATCAGTTCTTCATGACGGGCAAAGGACATCACCTGTGCCACAGCATAAGCAATGCCTCTACGACGCAGCGCCTGGTGAACCTCAAGCTCCGTAGCCACTGCCGCTGTCATGCCTGGCTCCACACGCGTCTCCTTGATGACACCATCCTTGGCTGGCTGCCAAATCTTAAGGTTATTGATCTCCTTGACAGCGTTGATCTCCTGCGACCTTGTGGTGCACTGCGCCCAAGAGATGTACCTAACACGACCCTCATCCAACATCTGGCACGCCAAACTAACCAAGTTCTGGGATGGCTCAAGGCGATCCTGAATATTCAAGGGAGCAATCTTCGCTGCCAACAGCTCGATTCGGGCTGCCATCTCTTGCGGTGGCAACTTCCGCGGTGCATCCTGTTCCGACGCCTCAGCCTGTCTCTTGATTTCACCCGCAGACACAGTGTAGGACTCCATGAACAACCTACGCAACTTCGCAGCGTGGGCGACCACAGCTGGGTCGGTACCCAACACGGGTCCTATGACCTGTGACTCGAACGACTTGTCATCAGCATGATTCTGGATGCAGAAGCCAAAGGTAGCATAAGTGTTCCACCCATGGGTAGCAAGCTTCTTCACAACGGCTTCCGGGACGCCAATGCGCGTGCACCTCGCAGCAAACACAGGCTCACTGTCGACCATGGACATGCTAGCTTTCAGTCGCGGGCCTTTGCCTCACGAGAGCTTGGGCCTTCCCAAGCTGCACAAACAGGGCATGCCTCCTGTGAATCGTTTAGCCAGAAAGCAACACGCAGTTCTCTCAAACTCCCAACGACATGCGACTACATACATCACAGATCCTACTCGCACATCACAGATCCCTACACGGCCTACACGCACATTCTTTCACATCCAGCACACGGAACACTGTCTGGTGTTGCACGAAGGCACAAACTTGAGCTGCTCGTAGTTAGAATTGGCCGTCCTCCCACACTTGAACACGCATGCCTCCCCATCGTCATCTGAAGTCACAACAGGGCTCAAGTGCACAACTCCACTCATCCAGTGCCTAAAGGCTATGCACTCCGGCATGGCCATAGGCGCAGCCTTTGCGACCTGATGCACAGCTACTTCCGCCATCATCTGCTCATCCTCGGAATCAGCTTCTGCACCTTGTGCATCGGGCTCCGACTCATCTTCCAAGTCACTGGCATCCCCATCACCCTCGGTCGCTCGTGGGAACCTCGTCACCGTTCGACTTGCGTCAGAGGAAAACATGGCATAAATGATGCACTCGTACGGACGCAGGCTGCAACGTGCAATTCCTGCTTGCCACCAGATTATGGTCTCTTTGCTTGCGCAACCAGTTGCCCGCCCAATCAAGCTTGGACATGCCTGGTAGCACGGCTACAACCGGCAACAATCGAAACTTCATTGCAGCTACGGTTTTATGGCTGTAAAGGCTCGTCTTAACAAACCTCCTTTCCCTCAGCGCATCCAGGACTGGCTTCTGCTCTAAGTGCATTGCGTCAGACCATCTCAAGCGACAGTAAAGAGCGAAACAGACAAAACCTGTGATGATGGCCAACGTCTTAAGAAAGACCACCTCAACAACGGTAAGTGGCACCTTCTTATGCACCTGTTGTTGCCTTAAGCACAAACATTGCTTCCAAGGTGCCACAGGCAAATCCAAGACCTTGACACTCTCAAGACCGCTCTTTACGCATGTGACAAATGCACCTGTGAGCTTCTTGCTTGTCTTTGGAAACACTGCAACGGCTTGCTCACTGCAAGCAAGGCCTTCCATCGTCGTAGACGTGGCCTTGTCTTGCCATGCCCTGCATTGACCCAATTTCTTTGGCCACTTTTTTGGACAACAAAGTTTCACCTCCTCCGCAAGTTTGCGTCACTTGAACGGCAGTAGACACCACACCAGCAAGATTGTTCTACCCGGCCAGTGTTCGCACATCTGAAGATCAGGACAAAAGAGAAAGGACACATGACCACCCAAGAACTTAGCTGATTTGAACCCTCCAGGCAATTCCAGTCGCAGTATGCTTCTTCCAACACTACGAATCGCCTTTAAAGCTTCTTTGTACGTTGAACCAAAACAAGTTGGCTAAAGACCTCACTTTTGTCTGGTTCCTTTTCAGCCCAGCGCCCTAACAGTGGGAACACGAAGATGGTGGTGTAGCACTTGTGTCAAAAGCTCTATGTCCAAGTTTCTTCAACCTCCAATGTCAGACTCAAAGATCTGGGCAAGTCTTAAGAGTCCATTGGGACTTCGTGCAAGTTAGCCCCGTGGACGCTTGCGGCCTCCATTCCAGAGGCCGTGCAGCCTTGGAGAGTTGTAAGTCTGTGTCAAGCGCCTTCAAGCAGTGGGATTTTTCCATTGACGTGATGTGTTTCCACTTTATGTGCTTGTTTTTGGAAGAGCTGCATTTTGTCAGTTCCAATCACAAGCTTCGAACAGAAGTGAATCAGCTGATCATCAGCTTATTTTGGGTGTGGACGCTTTGCTGCTTCGCATCCAGAATCTCGAACGCCGGAGTGCTAATTTGCTTTCCATTGCAACAGATCATTCCCAGCCCAGCAGCTTTGTGCGTCTCAGCAAGAAGACCTGCAGGTGCGTGTGTCGACGCGGGTCGTGTGCTCGCATTGGAAGAGCGAGTAGAGTTGCTGCGGCTTGACACTAATTCCGCTCTTCGTAGGGCTGGAGATAACGGGATCCAGGTGGCTGGATCTTGATTTTTCCTGGCAATCTTGTTTTCTGCAACGCATGCCGACAGCAAAAACCAAAAGATAAGCTTGTTCGTCAGGCTAAACTGCCTTATTACAAGCAGTGCATGCGTTACAGGCAAGCTAAGGACAGGTTTGAGAGCCAGAGTTGAGCAACAAACATGGGATCCTAAGGACAAGCCCAAACTTATTGGTCTTTCGAGAAGGCATAAAAGCAGCTGTCCTATCCTTACACTGCTGTCGTTGTTTGTTTCTGCAGAGACGGACTAGAAGTGCGAAAAAACTTGCAGCTCTCTGCGCACAGCCCGGCGACTGAGAAGACAATGCACGTTTTCAACTTTGGCGTAAAAGAAGGGAAATCAAAGACAAGCTCTTAAAGCAACATCATGCGACAAACAAGAAAAAGATCCGCAAATATTTGATCTTTCAAAATTCTTCCGTATGGACTGGAAAGCTCATAGGTTTGCTTCGGGGTTTGACTCTCCGCCTGGCACCTGCACAGCCGCTATAATGCAGCGCCGCGGCATCTGAACAACCAACGTCTGTCATTGAAGACAGACATTGTCACTCTATGGAGAAGCTGAATGATTGCGGTTTCGTTCCGGGTTTTGATAGCTTTTGCCTCTTCCGAAATTTTGGTTTGGGCTGATTAAGAGAATTTCCGCGTTTGCAGAAGAGCAGTCACATTGTGCTTCCCCTCTACGTGTTCGATGACTGCTTGGAGATCCAAGTCACCTTCAAGGTTCATCGTCAGGTATGCGGGCACGTATGTTTGCCTGCACGTAAGATCATTGCAGAGCTCCACGCCACCAGCTTCACCTTTTTTTAAACATCGGCGAAAGAAGGTTTGAGCACATGCCGTCAGTTTGTGCACAAAACAGAGCCCAAGTGCTTTCTGATTCTTGTGTTTTGAGTGGTGAATATATTTCGATGTGGATTGATAAGTTGACTTTTTGCCATTGTTTGCTCAAGTTTTTACAATGCAGTTTTGCAAATTGGTAGACGACTATTTCACGGAACGTGATAATGTTGTCTTTTAATGCATAGTTGCTGCAACAGCGACGCAAAACTGCAAAGTGATTTTATGTTTTAACTTGAACAGGTGGGGGAGTTTTACACGGAGTGTTCCAAAATAAGCCATGTGTTGAGGGTGTTTTTAATCTTGGAAGTGACTGCTTGGTTCCGCGTGTGGTTTTACATGGCGCGTACTCGATGCACAGGGAGAATGTTTGTGCCGTTATTATGGCCCGAACCTGCTTTTCCACCCACCCACCCACCCAGCGGTTTGGGTATGGCGGGTCCGTTGTGGTGACGCTTGCTGTCTGCGTTGAAGAGGTGTTGACCACATGCCGTCAGTTTGTGGATGCACGCTTTTGCGAATGATTGCCCCTTGTTCCTATGCGGCAAGACAGAGCCCGAGTGCTTTCTGATTCACTTGTGTTGAGTGGGTTGATATATTCCCGATGTGGATTGATGAGTTTACTATTTGCCATACGTTTGCGCAAGTTTTACGATGCAGTTTTGTAAATCGATAAGACTTCTAAGTCCAGCATGACTTCCAAATGGATCTTAAGTTCCGGGACTTATCTAGTTCAGCATGGGCAGGGTGGGGAGACCCATCCTCGACAGCGATTTCCCCAGTTCGGCAACTTTCCTGAGAATTCACTTGTTTGTTCGTGTTGTGGGTGTTGGTACAGCACGCGAGAGAGACAGAGAGAGAGAGAGAGATGAGCAAAGCCGCAAAGCAAAGCAAAACAAAGCAAAGCAAAGAGAGATGGTGCGCTGAGACACTACACAAGGCAATCAAAGCAACGGGTGCTGGGGACGTGCGTGTATGAGCCAGCTGAGTAATTACCCACGTCCTGGTGTGAGCAATAAACATTTTCAGGCGACTGCACAGGCAAATGCAACTGGCATAGCGGTCACGCGCAAAACTTGAGCTCGTAATCCCAGGCCCCAGCCCAAAGTGGAGCAATCACGGTGCTGTGGTGTTGAGGTTCGCATGGTTTTGGGTTTTGCTCCGTGTAGCGAGCGACGCCACGCAGGTTGCGACCCTGAGATGCCTGCCCGTCCTGAAGGTAGCTCCGGCTCATTGACAGAACCAGCCTCTGATAGACTCATTAACTACGAGACATCGCATTTTCTTTGCAGCTGGAGGCTTGCTTTACTCTGTCCTCACTAAGCTTTCCTTGCTATTTGCCATAACGAGATCATGAACCGACTGCGCCGACCAGAGTCATTCGATGAGGTGTCTGCGGAGGGGCTGTTCCGTGCCACCAGCATGCCGGCGATCCTCGCCGGGCGGGGAGCCATCTTCGTGCAAGGCTTGCCGGGTCTCCTCGGAGCAGGCGGCTTTCCTTCTGCAAAGATTCCGACTAAGCAGGAGGTGCTTCAAGCAGGATCCTTCATCTTCGAATCCTCTTCGTGTGCCGACGCGCATGTGGACGTTTTTGTGAGCCATTGCTGGAGCTCGGGACGCTGGGCGAAGTTTCTGGCGCTGTGCTTCTACTTCAACTTGACAGCAGCTGTTCTGTGCTCCCTGACCGCCTGGCTTCTGGCTACCGCGGGCATGATCGCGTACGCACATGGTGCGACAAACCTTGGGGGCAACCACCTCTTGCTGCCCATCTTGGTCCACTTTCCCATCGTGGTTTTTCTCGTGGTCTTTTTTTTCGGCCAGCATGCTGTGCACCGCTTGCAGCCCACATCGATGTGGCTGGACCGGGCATGCATTCACCAGACAGACCACGACTTCAAGCATCGTCAGATCCAAGCGCTCCCCGTCTTCGTCGCACGGTCCTCCTCCATGCTGGTGCTGTGGGATGACGAATATTTCCGGCGTCTTTGGTGCCAGCTAGAATTGGCTACCTTTGCAAAGTACGGTGGGGATCAAGAAGTACGGTTCTTACCGCTTTGGATGGCCCCATGGCTTCTGTCTGCACTTCTGGTGAACTCTTTGGTGGCTGCGCTCTGGAGCATGCTTAATTATCGTGGGCCTCAAGAAGTTCTCATCTCCGTCACGTACTCCTGTACCATGGTGTTGCCACAGAGCTTCCTTGATTCGTCTTGGGGCTTTCTTGTGTCAGACACGGTTTGGAGTGTGCTGCTTGGTACGACTTTGGGCATTCTGGCGTCGATTCCTTGGACTATCGCCTGCCGAGCCAAGCTGCAAAGCCACGAGTTGATGCTGCGGCAGATGGCTTCATTCGACTGCCGGGCGGCAGAATGCACCATAGAGGCTGACCGGCTCCTTGTGGAACAGCAGGTCCAGACACTCTTCCAGTCGCGACAGGAAGAAGAAGCTGTGGTTCAGGCGCCATCCTCTCCTGGATCTTACGAACACGTGCAGACAGAATCGAACGCATCCACTGCACTGGGTACCGATGGTATTGTTGCACCCGGGGTGCCATCCACCGCATACCTGGCTGGTTCCGCGACAGCAGGGATCCCACGCAACAGTGTGACCAGCACTGAAATTGATCAGAAAGCATTGGACGCTTTCAACAGCTACATTCGTGGTCCCCTTCGCCGTGTGGTGATGGAGAGTGTCGGAAACCAGCTGCACGTGCCTTACCGCATTTGCTTGGTCGCTGCTTTGCCCCTGATCTTGTATTCCCCCGTGGATCTTCTCCAATGCGGTGCTGATTGCAGGGCCCGATACAATTTCCCCTCCCTGGAGACTGGCTTCCGGTCGGAGATGCTAAGCTGGCTTGTTGTTATTTTTTTGGTGCTTCCCATCTTCTATCCGATTCTTCTTCGCATGCTAAAGCAGGCCTTCACCGTCCAATCACAGAAGTTGCAACTAGTCTTGGCAATTCTCAGCGCCGTCTTGACCTTTACCTATGGTTATTTCTGCGCTGGAGTGGTGGATGGACTTGTGTACAACATCTTCCAGCAAGGATTGGTGGGCTTGGTGCCCGTCTTTGCTCTGCTGGTAATTCTTCTCCTCCTGCAGCTGCGATGCCTCTTCGGCAATGGTCCAGCCTTCGCAAGCACTCATGTAGATGGCACCTACCGAGCTCTGCATGCAGAAGACGACTTCAGCATCTAATGTTTCATGCAAAAGCCTCACATTAGACCTCTGCTAGCAGCGCTAGCAAAGGCGAGGGCTTCAGTTTGGCAGAATCGGTGCGGCTTAAGGCCCGCTGCATTCATCGCAATCCGATAGGATCAGAGCAACTGTCGGGCGTCAGATCTGAACCGGAACCAAAGCCCGGAGCTTTGAAGGCCTTGGCGTAATTCCTATGGCTGCTTGCACAGTTTGTGATAATGAGTAGGACGAGACGATGGCCCTCACTGGCAAACCAGGTCCAACCCGTAAACATTGGCCTTCTGTTCCTCGTTCGTTCCTTTTTCGTGCGACTGATCTGCTACTGAGATGCATCCACGGTCTTCGTGGGACTCAGCAAGCCTCGAAGCTGTCTTGTTGTCCGCCACATTTCCCGGGTGAAAGTTCTGATCGTACGAGGTGGCACAATGCATGGTAGACCGAGTGTCGCAAATTGCAAAGTCTCCAGGCAGCCAGTTCCAACCTTCCCGAGCTTGGGAACAAGACGATGCACACAGCTACAGATGCGGGACGCAGGGAGGTTCGGGATTTCTTGAACAATCCATTACGAGGGTCTGAACATGGCCCAAGGATGAAATCGGCAGGCGGAGACCTGAAGATTCGCATAGCTCACATGGTCGTCTTTAAAGCCAAAGCTGCAACATGGTCTGATTTTGCGGGAAGACATTCCTAGTGCTTCTCACCTGCAGCCTCGATACAGCGGCTTTCACACACAAGGCTTGTCCCCTTCACTGTCACTTCACTGCAGACGCTGCGTATTGTGTATCAAGCAATGTTTTTCTTCCTTTCAGGTTTCAAAACAAGGAATCAATCCAGAGCATAACCCCCCCCCTACATCACTGTAAAAACAGGTTGCGCTGCGTTTTTGCTGTGTTGAGAAGTGCGGTCGCTTTCGAGGTTTTTGTTCTTGGTAGGACAACGTTCATTTGGGATCAAGATGCGTGGCAAACTGCCTGTCACTTGGAATTCTGTGGGTTAAACGCAGCGATGCATCAAGAAAATTGTTTAGTTTGCAATTCGTGTTCGTCCAACAAAGCTGCTTTCAAGTCGCATCATGTATTGATTTTACGTCTCCAGGATGCAAAACCGAAATTTGAAGTTTCTACGTTGCTCGACTGTCAACGTTTCAAATGGAACACAACTTTTCCAATCTCGAAAAGCTTACCTACAAGAGTCAAGCATGCGGCAGCATGCGGCTTGTGATTGAAGTTTGAAGATTGGGGAAGTGTTGTTGCTGCAAGACCAGCACAAGCACATATATACTGCCGTCAAGTTCTCCGTATTCGGACCCATGAATCCATTCTCAAGACGGTTTGTTGTTAAATGGTGTTTGTTCTGCCAACCAGATGCTTAGCAACTTTGTTGGTAGTTGTGTGATCAAGAAACCCTTCAAAGACCACGTGCAAGCGAACGATTTGTGCATGACAATGGGAGTGCTTGACGAGCCGGATGGTGGTTCTTGCGTGTTGCGAGGTCAAGGAAGGTGCGTTGCTCATTCGTTGTGCAAATTCGACTGCAGAATGAGGAAGCTGTTTGGCATCTAGGTTGGGACCGATTTTGGGGCCGTCAGATGTCAAAATCGTCGCACGCCGAGATTGCGTTTCCATCTGCATCATGGGCGTTTTTACTTGCTCGACATTCAGTTGTTCATGTGAATATGTGCCAAGACACCGGCCAAGTGCTGAGGCAGTGGTGTCGACACTTCGGGATGTGCAGGCAGGGCAACATGTGTGTTCTTCGTGAGCTGTGCAACGAAGCTGCGAGTTTAAGTTTACGTAAGTCATACGGAAACAGTTCACGATTTGCACGGTCGTATGAGCATCATGTCGAGCGCCCAGGATCAGCTCATTCATTGGTTGGAGTGGCAGAAGACTTAGTTATTCCAAACGTGTGCGTGGCTAAGGATGCAACGATGCAACGATGTAACGATGTAACGATGCAACGATGCAACGATGTAGTTAATCTCATTGTCGGGCCTAGGTTCCGTCTCATCGGATTCGCGCACATGTTTCTGTACTTTGACGATCCCGAGCACGACGAGGTTGTTATGCAAGCGGTGTGGAGCTTCGTTGCAGTATTCAACACGCCAGGCCGCGATTCAGGAAGCCAGAGCGACTTACTCTGAAGACTTTGTGAGCTTCAGCCTGCGATTGGCTTAGCTGCTGCAGCATGGAACTGCAAGTGTCTCGTTCGTTTCGTAACGTGCGTGCTTGCTCCAACGCACCAGGCATGGCGAACAGCTCAGGGAACAGTGGCAGAAGCTGAGGATGTTTGCCTTTTGTGGCAGAAGCTGAGTTTCAACCCAGTTGGCATTTCAGTAACTTGGCCAACAGCAGAGGCAAACCGGTTGCAATGGTGATCTGCCCGCTGTTGCTCGTTTTGGTTCAAAGGGCGCAGTACTCTTCGACAGAGTGGCTGCTAGGGGTGTGTTTTGGTTTTGGGACACAGTTTCAGTGGCGGCGACCTCAAGACTACAAAAGAAGAGCTGGAACCATTGCCCGTCCCGCTTCACCTAAGGTTCTAGCCACGCCTGATCTGTCGCAACCATGGGAGGCCGGCACCTGAATTTAAGCGATAAGCAGCGTGGTGACAGGACACACGGTATGACGCACGGTTCCAAAATTTGTGATCAGGTGCAAGCTCTTACATCGCGATGCTTTGCATCGCGGGTTTCCTTGGAGCTTCGTGGACAGCGTCGAAAGTGTCCAGGCATCGTCCTTAGTTGGAATACTGAGGTAAGAACGTGAGAACTCCCGGTACACGAGCGAAATCCAGTGTAGGTTGCTTGGTGTCTCTGACATCGTCCTGGTGATCACAACCGGCGTGGTCTTCGGGCCTGAGTGGCCCGGCTGGAATCGTTCGGCGCAGTGTGCGTTTACTAAATCACAACCTGCATAGCTTTTTCGCAAGCTGAAACACATGCTGTGCTGGCTTTGCCCTCGCCAGTATCCTGGGGCTCGTCGCCAAAGAGTACACAGTTTGCTCAGAAGCTAGGCCTGTGGTTTTGATCTTCTTATAGAGTGCTCTCGCTATGGGGTCGAGACATTCTGGCAGGCACATTGATTGTGGGACCATCGAGGATGTCACTTACAAGGCATGGTCCGGCCGCTTCCAGCGGAGAACGTTCTGCAATTGTTCTACGGAGCTTGTCGTGTCAGGTTGCGAACAACTTGCCCCTGGGACAGGTTCACGGACAGCATGTTGTATCAAGCTGGATGGCTGAATCGTACTGACGGCTGTATGTTGCAGGCCTTGGGAAGAATCCAGAACATGGACCTGTGTGATCCAGCAGAGTGCGCCAGTACAGTTCTGGCTAAATAATGCGAACATGTATGATTCAGTGTATTCGGTGTCCTCTCGCTTTGCATCTTGGCAGTTATCACCATGATGATCATGGCAGTGTCGGTCATGGCAGTGATGGCAGCGGCCACGAGCTCAGATGCTTCGAGAGCAACTGAACAGGATCTGCTGCAGCCCCTGAGAAGTCATGAAGTCCTGGCCTTCCCGGAAAGAATCTTGTGTGTATTCTGTGCCTCCTCGCAATGCGTGCCGAGCGCTCACGTCAGGACACGGCGAGGACACTTCGCATGGCACGATGCCAGGCACATCCAATGCGACCCATGGTGGGGACCATGCCACCGAGGGTGGCGGTGAGCACTCTGATGGTGATCACGCTTCAGGGGACCATTCTGCTGCAGATGACCACACATCGGGCGAGCACTCTGCAGCGGGGGACCACTCCAGTGGCGAGCACTCGGATGGTCATATCCCAGACGACCACAGCAGTGGTGGGCACGAAGCAGCCGATCATGGCACTGACCAGGCAAGCCTTTCAAATTCTCGTGGTGGTGGGCGAAAAAAAAAATATATATATATAGATATAGATATAGATATATGCTTTCCACTGCCCACCGTTGGAGTGCTTGTTTGAGTGCATTTTGCCGACTGCTTTGGCCCTGGGCAGGTCTCGCACGGGACCGGGTGCCTTGGTAGGTTGAAGTGTCTTTGAGCAATGCTAGTGCTCGCAATATTTCGCATGTCCGAAGAACAGAACCTCTTGAAAAGGCATCGGCGTTTATCCGGTGGTGGCAGCTACACTTCCTATGAGGTGGCCTTTGCTGCGGTCACCAGTTCCGGTCTGCGGCGTGCATTATAGTGCCCATGTTTGATTGCTTGGTCATGTTGGCCTTTAATGAGAGCCTTTTCGTGCTTCTGTAGAAAAAAAACATGGGGCCGATGCAGAGAGCAAATCTGGCAAATCGCAGGAGTGCCTCGTGAAGAGCTGCGATGCTGATGCTGCGACCTTGACATTCTTAGATGTGTTCGTTGAAGACCAGACTTGAATCAGTTCCTCCGTGCCGTCACCGAGATTTCGCACGAGTGCCAGCTCACCCCGGACGTCTTCACATTGATTGGTCATGCAGGCAGCTTTGATGCGGCACTTGTCGGCGCTTTGACGGGTCCTGGTGAACAGAGGCGTAGAATCGCTAGAATCGCAGAAGCACGACATGCCCAGGATAGGAGCAAGCCGAAGACGTCTTTTCACCGCTGTGATACCACTTCTGGCAGGCGTGGCTTTGATGATTTTCGAGAGCGGCATGCATTTTGATTTCGAGAAGGCCAAGGCCAGTCAATTCTAACTTGTTTTTTGTCATCACAGCCGGTGTGCCTGCCATTCGAAAGCACGAGCTCCGGAACCCTTGATTGCTTCCCAGGTCGTCGGCCCGAAGGCATGTGTTGTTGCAGCCCGCAGCTAAGTGATGCTGCTGCTGCTGATGATGATGATGATGATGATGGCTGCTGCTGATGGTTGCGGTGAGGCAGGGAGGCCCATGCAGTGATGCTTGGCACTGCCTGTGCAGATTGACATTGATGTCGAGCATTCGAAGCAGTACTTGCATGCAGAAGTTGACTTAGGTCTTGGGCACGATTCTTCCGCTTATCACCGGGTCCCTTCTAACGATGGTTTACGGCTATGGGCCCTCGTCTCAGGCTCACTTTCATGCCATTACAAAGTTTCATGGCTTTGGACGTCAGGTTCTTTCCGCAAGGCATCTCAGCTGGAACGGCCCTCGCGCCAACAAGTCTCGGTCCTCAAAACTTTCAGAGGCATGTGCCTTGGATTCCATGAGTGGCTGACGGTGGCCTCTTTGAGGCGTCGGAATCGCCCTCCGACTCCTTGGTGAAGCTGGGGTCTTGCAGGAGAACTTTGGACAGGCCACATCCCAAGACGAGCTCTGTTGTATTCTGTTTTGTCATGCTTGCGGCAAGGGTCTTCGCAATGCAGAGGTCCTAGTGAAGGGGTTGTGGACTGTGGTTTGTTTTCTTTAATTCGTCTGTGTCCATGGAAGATTGGAAGATGGGGAGGTGTTGTGCATCTCTTGGGTGCAAGTTACTTGCGTGACTCGAAAGCATGGCCGACAAGCACGTTCAGATGCCCAAGAAAGGGGGGGTCTCTGGGGCCTGTTCGTGATTTCATTTCATATAGGCTTGTATATTCAAAGGTGACAGCTGAAGGAAAGTTTTCATCTGGAGTTTCTTCGCAATGTATTGAAGAATGGATTTTTGGAAGACGCCCATGGGATACCCGAAGCCTGTTTTCAACGTTCAATACGAATTCTGGCAAGGGTTTAGGATACCGGTTCCCATGCCCGGGAGATCACATATGTCGAACGCATGAAAGCAGGTGTTTGAGACATGCTGAAAAAGCAGAGGAAAGAAGATGGATGTGCCCAAACCCGTAGCCCTGATGCAGAAGAAGTAGAGATCTTCTCTGCAAGCTCAGAGGTAGCTGAGGGAGGGCCACAGAACAAACACAACAAAAAGGAGCAGCACTGAATTAGTGAAGAGCCAAGCAAACTTTCCACTTCTTACAAGAGGTCAAGTCCTCTTCCTGATACCACTTTTGAATCCTTTTTGCTTGTTATCTCGTCCCGGACGTCAGGCCATCATCACTGCAGCTTTTGTGGATGATATTCTGTCGCTGGTGCGAGTCTTGGCTTTTGCTGTGGCGCTGGGGGTATTGCTCGAAGATCATCTTTGGTACAGGTTCTCTTCAATGTCCTTTTCTCGCTGGGCGGCGAGTGTGAATCTCAGCTCTGTGTGGAATCACTCATCCTTGGGGCCTTGGGGGTGCCCTTGAGCACCACCTCGCTCTCGGAGGTTCGACATCATGGCAGTGGTGGTGAACCCCATCATCGGCATCGCCGTCATGCTGTTCGCGATGGTGCGCGCCATGGTGCTTGAAGCATCCGGCGTGAAGTCCGCGATCTTGAAGTGTTTCTTTAAAAGCTGGCTCACCGGCGTTCTTTTGTAGCTTTGTTTGGTTCTCTGTTTGCATAATACTGATCCAAACACATGAAGAACATGAAGCACTCTTGTGGTTTGCCACATCTGCTGTGCACTTGTTGCTTGGGCTTGGCTTGTCCTTGCTGCAGTACCTTGCGATGAAGTTCTGGCCCAAGTTCATCAATGAGGCTCGCCGAGTGCGAATCTTTGCAAGAGAGATGAAAGAAGAAGCAACTCCGCGCGCCAGTGGCTACTTCCGAAAGTCCCAGTCAAGGAGGGCGCCAAGGCCTGCAAAGCATGACCTTCTGCCCCGCTCCTCATGTCTTCTGGTTGGGTGGAACAGTTGTGTTGTGTTTGGGCGGCTGAGCAGGTGCCTCAGACAGATGAGGCAAGGTCACAACACCCAGTCCATGATCTGCTGCAGGGCGTCGAGACTCTGAGCCTTTGATCCATGTCAGGTTCTTTTCCTGTTGATGATTCTTCTTCTGGCAGGCAGCTCAGGTCACGAAAGCGCTGCTAACGGTCGACATTTGCATCTCACGGTAAGTAGTTGCAAGCTGCATTGAGATTGGGTATGCAACCATCACCTACTTCCTGGGCACTCACCTGCCGCTTGCCCAATGGTGAAGCCCAGTTGGCAGCATACATTCGGTTCTCACCTTCCGGAAGGTGGGGCTGCTTTATCGCGGGCATGTCTTTTGCCTGCCTGACTCCGGCGCATCACGCTCACCATGCCCGTTTCCTAGAAAGTGGAACGTGGATGGCGCCGGTGTAGCAGCGTAGCACATCTCATGAAGCGGCGGCTGCCGATCAAGTGCCTTAGGTTTGGGTCAAGCAGACAAAGCGCGTAACATCCTGGATGATCAGTGTTGTGCCCAGTGCAATGCAGGGATGATGATGCTGGACACGAATGGTTCCTGTTGTCAGGAATCTTCTTTGCATGCACAGTCGCCTTTTCCATCCCCATCTCGAAGCTTCTGTCAGTTGATGCCATCCTGGCCTGTGTTGTTCAAAAAGTTAAGCCCGGTGCAAAAGTTCGACCCTCTCAGCGTGGTGCAAGGCAATCTGGAAGGGTGCCATCATGGGCATCGGACCTTGCATCCTCACGAAGGTGTGTTGCGCACCATTCATGGGCGAGGCCTGTCTGCATCGAAGGGACGAAGTCACATCCGTGGTGCTTGTGATTGCTTGTGTGTTCTGGCAGGCTCGATGGGTCATTGGCTGGGCCATGGTGGGTCGCAGCCTTTCTTCCCATATCAGCTTCAAGATGGACGAGTGAAGCGGAGAATGCGAGGAACTTGGGAGCAGTTCCGACCACCGAGGCCGAGCCGAGTTCGCGTACCTGATCGCACAGATGGCCGCCGCTGCAAACATGCTGGACAAGGATCCCGCAAGCAATCGCAAGCACCTGACGCGTTGTCATTGCGTTCTGATCCCTGGCTCTTCTTTGCAGGATATGTTCTCCATCGTCATTTGGGCTTTGCTTTGGGCAACAATTTTCGCACCGTCGCTACCTTGAATCTGTGAGCAGATCTGTAACGACTGGCCTTCGAGCATGTAACCTGTCGACTGTCACTTCAGGTTTATCTTCCGTTACGTGTTGAACCGCTACGTGAAAGCTCAAGGCGCGAAACTGTGAAAGCACGTCTCAGTGCTACTTTTCATTGCTTGCCAAACGCAGGTCTGGGAGACAGAGAGCCAAATCCTGGTTACGGGGAGGATGAGGCACCATTAACGTGCTGCGGGGTTCAGAAAGAGGGCCGCAGCAGGGTTGGGCTTCTGCCCAAAGACATACATATATACGTAAAAAATGTGGCAGGATGGGTATTCGATCTCGGAGCCGCCTTCGGAGAAGGGTGACCTGGTCCGAAGCCTGGAGCGTTCAAGCTCATGGGGTACGAGCACTGCAAGCCGCAGTCCTTAGGCGTCCGACCAAGACTACAAGATGAAAGTTGAAGAGCTGAACAAGGCGGGGACAGCAGATATGCACAGCACAGCCGGCGGTTCCCTCGCAGCAGAGTTGATCTCACAGAGTATGGGGCACTGCTGGAGAAGCCTCACGAGTTTTTGACTCAGGTTGCTCCTGCAGAGGCGCCCCTCCTGGCTGAGCACGAGCGATTAGACGTAGAGACTCGTAGAGACTCCCCTCATGGGGACAGAGAACGCATCTGTCTCAAGCTAGCACAGGCCGCGGGGCTCTGGACTTAGCTCAGCCTAGCTTGCTCAGCCATGCCCAGCTTGCAGAGACTTCCCAAAGTGATCAAACTTCTTCTCGCTTGGTGTGCGTGTCTCCAAGGCCCTCAGGGGCGCAGAGCTCTGAAGCTCGCTGTTGTGGTGCCTTCAGCAAGAGCGTCAGCTCTGGCGTGCTTGAAACGTTGCAAGCTCGAGCCATCTCATGAATATTGCTAAAGTGCTAAAGTGCTGAGCTGGATGGCAGGTGGTGTGATTCCGATTTGGGTGCAGGCGGCTACCGGTCTCACTGGGCGGCGAGCCTTGATAGGAGTGCGGCCAGTCTTTAAAGACCTACTACTGGCTGGTAGTCTGCACTCGGGCCGCTGTCGATCCTCATTGCAACATTCCGCGAGAGGCCAATTGTTTCTAGTCCTTGTGGTTCAGAAAGATGTATGTCGAGAAGGAATATATCTCAATGGCATTACCGGAAGGGGCATGGGCTCTGCTCTCGCAGTCAGGTTTCTCCGCCGCGTGTGCGCACCCAAAAGCATTTTTTGACACATTGAACACTGCTTTAAGACACATGAATGGCATCGAGTCTTCAGTACTTGTTGGTGGCCTTTCTAGTGCGCACCAGCTCCAGGCAATGCCTCGACGTTTGGTCTCTTGGTGCACTCGCGCCCTAATACGCTTTCTATGTGTCGATTTCGTTGGTGCCTTTTGCGGAAACATAGAGGGCCCAGCCAAACAGTCTTCTAGATGTGGACAAAGACTCCCTGCTGTTGCCTGTATGCGCTGACGCAGAGGCATCTCCCCCCTCATCGTAGCTTCTGTGGAAGCCGGTAGACATGGACTCAGTCAGGTTGCCTTAGTGGGGGAGTTCTGCGCCTCGTATACGGATTTTTACAGCCGGAAAAGCCGGCCCTCACCTGCCTTATCCTGGAGTTTGCTGGACACCCACCGGTATGCTGCGCGTGTCGGTGTGTCGATTTGTCATCATTCCCCCATCGCCACTCCTGAAGGGAGGGCTGAGACTGCCCATCTGGGCGACAGTGAGCTTTACGTTATGTCAGCTCAAAAAGCTCAAGTGCTGGCTCAATGGCTCTTTTCCTGTCCCTATGACTTGTGTGCAGCCTTGGTGCCTTGCTGCATCCCTGGTGCACCCTCAGACATGTGTCCTTTTTGCAGGACTTGGCCGAAGTTTTCGAAGTACACGGACGACAGGATGTGTAGGCACTCATCTTCACAAATCTTCAACTCCCAAAGTCTGGGACCATGAACGTGTGAAGATGTTCCTGAGCGGCTCGACGAAGGCAGTTGCTGAACATTGCGCATGCACTGAAGCGTGCCGCTCACGCGTCCGGAAGCGAGGTCTTCCATTTGGGCTCAGCCGATGAATCCGGATCCCAGTAACATCATTAGGCCACGGGTTTCCGCCTTTTTCCTTGGAAGGCGGTCGATTGGGTCATTCACTTGGACCATGATGAGCTTTTCCTTCCACCACCGCAGGGCTTGCAGGTGTTTCGCTCAGAAGGAGGAGTTTTGGGTGCAAGTGCAAGCTGAGAGATGCTGAGACCAGGCCCACTTCAAGCACCTCGAAGCAAGTGACTGCCGCATGGGCCCGAGTGGGCTCCAGCAGGGCCTTGCCAGAGGGCAACGTGCTGAGGCCTTTGCCTTTATCAGAACTTCGAAGCTGTGCCACAGGAGCTTCGCTTGGATGCTTCTCTTAGCCTGGGGGCCTTAACTTGGCCCAGTCCAGGACCACACCCTGACTCCTTTCGTTGATGTAACGCTGTTCAAGGCACGCAGTGCACAGAGATGCAGAGAGGTTGCTGTTTCTTGTGTTGCACGCAACTTTTTTTCTGGTTTGCATTCGCTTGTTGCTTTGTTTGGTTTTAATGCTTCTGGTAGGTGCCCAGTGGCCGTGTGAGCAAGACTCCGACTCCAACTCGGAGCTTGTGGGGACTTTTTGTTTGCGGAAGCGGACTGCGAGCGAAACTGGACTTTCAGAAATAAGGGCGGGTATGGCTGGCATGAACTTCTGGGCACGGCGTACGAAGGCGGGAGCCTCAGTGCACTGGCCTCAGGCCACGACAACGACCAGATGCTGCAGGCTGTCTGAGACTGCCCGAGCGGCTTAGGCTAACAACTACTTTCTTTACTACGACAATGGCAAGAGTGCAGTTCGAGTGAGCGGGGGGCTTTTTCGTTTAATGCGGCAAGACGTGTTCACCAAAGATCATCAGCAACAAACGAGGCCGGGATCGGGAGATCGCGCCAACGTCTGCCACAAACTTAGACTCTGACAGAGACATGCCGGTGCCGCTGGTGTTGTTGGGGGCTTGTTTCTTCACTGGTTCGTGGTGGCGGAGGTGCACCTCTTGTATCCTCCAGACGATCTGGAGGCTGCCGGCCACGCAGGAACCTGTGGACGTGTTCTAGCCGACAGCTGTCGCATGTCAGGAGCTCATTACTGGCCAACATGGCTGGACCAACTTTGCAGCCCACGAATTGGCGGTGCTTTGCTTGAACTTGTTTTTCTCCTCGTTCCAGCCTTTTCTTCTGGCTACATTGGCATCGTCAACTCTTGCAAACATGGAGCCAGCATGCACGCACAAAGCAGCAGAGCTGCCTGGGCTGAGGACATGAACCTGACATGGCTTTCCTCCTCGCATGATGAGGTGGTAGCTGCTTCCAAGGCTTGGCCAACTCAGGTGAAGGAGTGCCATGCTGTGCAGACTTGCTGGCCAGTTGGTGGAGGTTTTGCATTATCCCGCTACGCACTATGAACGGCTTTGGCGAAAGCAGGAGGCTCATTCTGAGTGCGTCAGCCATCCTGGCCGTTCAGTTTCATGTAGCATGGCAAGCAAGTCGGGTGAAAGAACGGCCGAAGTTGAGGTATGACCATCTTGGCAACTTTCCATCAGTTCGTTTCGGTGGCGATTTGGCCTGCCACTGAGCTGACTATCGTTCATCATACCGTTTGTGTTGGACTAGTTTCAACCGGACAATCTCCCCACAGATTGGAGAATAGGTTTTGTTCGTAAGTCGACCTTGTAGTATTTTTCGCGTGTGTGAGCATGCGTCGGATTGGATGCAGGCATGGGGGCATGTTTTGGGAGAGGGGGAAGCATTGCAGGGGAACGTGCGCGTCGTGACCTCGAAGTGCTCGAGAAAGAAACTCCGAATACTAGAGCAATGGCTCTTTTCTTGTTTTCAACTTGGAAGCATTAGAATCATAAAAAGTCCATCGCTTTGGGGTCACAGAGACCACGAAGCCAACGCAGAGTCTGGGTCCTTTTCAAGCGCAAGAATTTCTTTCCGGCTTGAGCGTGAGTCCTATGTGCTTGGACGTCTGTGTGCATTTTCGCAGGCATTCAAGACATGCAACGCCAGTCAATCACTCAAAACCGTACAAAACGGTCTGCTTCCATATTCGAGTTTGGAGGTGGTGCCGCCGTCATTCCACCTTGAGGCAGAAGCACGTGTGCTTTTGGAGATTGCTGCAGCATGCTGGGATGTGATTCTCACCGTCGTACAGTGAGATTACCTGTGTTCTTCTCCCGCGGCTGCTCAAGTCAAGTCCTCACCAGGATCATGCCAAAAGGCTGCAACACGCAGATGTCATAGAGGAAGGGCAGAAATGTATATGCGAAGGCAGTCCTTTGCTGGGCCACCCACTAGGACCCTAGCACCGAACACTTCCTGCACCTAGTGGTCGGTACTTTTTCATTTTTTTTCCGCAGTTTGATGCTACTTGTGGCGGCACAGCATTTCTTGCTGTGTGACTCGCTGATCTACACCGCGCTTCATGAGAATGAGTGGCATAACATCTCCAGGACTGTTACAGGAGTCCACCAATGTTCGTTTCGACTCGCTCTCGCGTCGGCGAGGCATCTGGTGGTTCCTTGATGAGCACATCCCCAATCATTGGCCCTTGCTCACATCCCCTCAAGACTTGTTGCGATTTTGTTGTGTGGTGTTCGTCCTAGGTTCCTTGAGAACTCGCGATGGGCACCGCCATGGTTGCAGTGGATGTCGCTGCTGTATCAGCTGTTCACAAGTGCGCTGATTGTGGCCCTGTCTCTTGCCCCATGAGCGTTCTGATTGTCAGTTTGCGAGTGAGGTCCGCAGAGCTGCAGTTCAGGTTTTGATGTCCTTATGGCAGGCGTTCCCCACATGTTAGAGCACCTGCGACTTTGTCGAAGCAATCAGCGCTTTATCATCCTAGCAAAGCCGACCAACAGAGTACACGATACAGCAAAGCTTAAAGCTTTCCAAGATTCTGGCATTTTGACAAGTTTTTGTCACTATGATTCTTAGGGCAGGGCTTCGAAACGATCGAGAGCAGATTCAGACAACTCTCTTTGGGCCTGTATGCTCAGGTTCGCTGTGGACAGCCGGACCATGAGCGAAGAAACCACTGAAGTCTACCACAACATGGAGATTTGTGCAACCGTCATCTTCACAATTGAGTATGCCCTGTGCCATGTCTGTGACCCTGTAACAAATTGAGAGATACTGAAGGGCGGATCTCTTGAAAGTATGACGCGGTTTGGAGACCCCTAAGGCGCTTCTACAGCTGCATCGAGTCTGTTGAAGATGCCCAGGAACTTTCTGTGGGAGCTCGCTGGAGATCGCGGTTGTGCTTGATGACAAGCCCGCCATGTCTCATCGATGCCGTCTCCTTGATCTCGCTGTACTTGGATGTCTGCATCACATCCAACATCTTCAGGGGTGTGGTGTCCATTCGGCTTCTGCGACTCTTCACTCTCTTCCGGTTGGAGAGAAAGCACAAGTTCTTGTCCCCGATCATCGTGGTGATCTTGAGCAAGCGCAGAGAGCTGGGAGCCACCCTGGGAGTGGCGGGCCTTGTCCTGCTCATATCGGCGACGTTAATGTACTATGTTGAGTCTGGTGTGAACACCCAGTTCAGCAGCATCTTGCAATCTATGTGGTGGGGCACTGCAGCACTGACCACTGTGGGATATGGAGACATTGTGCCCATCACGCCTCTGGGTCGCTGCCTGGGCAGTCTTGTTGCGTTTGTTGGTGTGGGCCTGTTCGGACTGCCTGCGGGTATTATCGCCTCTGGTTTTGCAGATTCCCACCGATCAAGATCGCATGCATCTTGAAAGCACAAAGGGGTGTAGGGTGGATGGGGTGTCAATCCAGTCATAGGACCAAACATCAACTTCCCTCGCATTTGATTGGCAGTGACAGGAGCACCGGCACATCAACACCGATCATTTGGAAGCTCGCGTCACCCGTATGATGAATACCCAGAATGAAGTCCTGTCCGAACTTCACTCTCTTCGTGCTCAAGTGGACAGTCTACTTGACGGTCAGCAGCGCATGCTGCTGTTGCTCGAAGGGCAGAAGGTCCCCCGATCGGGATGAATCTATGAACCTGGTAAGCGCGACATGTGCTACGCGCGAACCCGCTCATGTACAAGTCTGACAAGGTGAAGTGTTCACGGCTGTGTGACGAGCTTCAATCGCTTATGGTTCCGAAGACAAGCGAGCGCTGCAACTACGGAAGCGGGAGCGTCCTCCTCGTGCGTGTCTGTACTGTTTGCTGATTCGCATGCGCTACTTGCTAGGTTTCTGAAGGAAACTTATACCTTTGGCCGAGCTTTATGGTTGCATCAGATATTGTGAGTGAGCACGACAACATGTGAGCGCACTGATGGCAAGATGATGGAAGCCGGCTGGCCCAGCCGTGCCACTGTGCCGGTGTGCCGAATGACAGCATCCAAACTGGACAAACAGGAAAAAGGAGAACAGGGCGCTATGCTAGATGCACGCGACTGGAGCCACTCAAGGTGGTATGGTTGCCATATGTTTGTTGTGGAAGGCTCGTGATGAGTACCTGAAGCACAGCACCAAGGAGAAGCAGCTTGAGAAGTTAAAGGACGGCGTAGCAGGGCTTGCTGTACGTGAACTGCTCTATGGCGCAGATGTTGTAGTTGTTCGAGTGCACATACAGCAACATGGGAGTCATCCGTGTCTGAAGGAGTTACTGGAGAATGCTGCTTTTTTGCGCAGTGAAGCTGAGGCGGTTTGCTTGTGCGGAATAACATGATCACGTTAGCCGACATGCTTGTCTCGTGCTTATAACCTTGAGCTCGGCTCTTATACCTTGAAATACCTGTTCGTCCTCTCTGATTACCACCATGTTGGATTCTGTGGTGTGAAAGCGCACTTAGCCCATTCTTCAGCTTGGAAAAGGTGCAGTCGCAGCTCGAAACGGGGTCAGCCAGCGTCCGAGTGCGAAGACTGGTCTCCAGCCAGCTCTCTGAGTAATCATCACCAATGATGACTTTCGAAGTATGGACAGTGACAATCTCTTTTGTTGTGCCAAGGGTATTGCCACCCTTGGCACCACTGCAGGTGGTCGTCATCGACACTGTCAAGGAGTCCTTGCGACGAGGTGTTTGGGTTCCTCCGAGGCCTCTGTGCCAAAAGGTGAATCTCTAGAGATGAGGGGGTTAGCGAACATCGGTGTAGCGGTTGGTGAGTGACAAGGGTGGTTTCGTCTAGCCGACGCAGGCAGCTCCGGCCGAGCCTCTTCAAGATGCTGCAGCGCCGCCCTGGTGTGAAGGTGGGAGAGCCGCCGCTTCCTCGCTGCTTCCAATTTCTGCGGCATCTTTGCGATCAGGGCATGGAGAGGCTTCAGACGATGAAGAGGAGACCGGCCGAGGCCTTCCTGAGTTCGCAGCCAGGCATTTTTGCGCCCTCTTTTCTTTTCCGTCGTATCCTTGTGCAGGTCTGCTTTGGTAAGGGCGGCATCCTCAAGAACCTGGATACCGCGCTGGATGTCATCGTCCAGTCTCTGTGTTCCAATGGCTGGGTGGCGTGTGGGTTAGGGGCGCATGAGAGCCTCATGGCCAGAGCCCTGGAGGAGGCAAAGTCGCTGAAGCCTCGTATGTCTCGTGGAACAACCGTGATCCAGAATGAGGTCATTGATCCCAACAAGCCCAATGCAGACAGAGAGGACCAGATCCTTTTCTTGCAGGAACAGGGACTCAGTGGCCCCAGTGCAGCAAAGGGCCCAGCACCAACACTAGCCTTGCTTGAAAGTGCAATCATCGACATCGTCATGCATTTGGACCCTAGACTCCAGCGAAGCGATCTGCAACTCCGCATCACGGAGCGTTGTGACGGAATGCTTTCTCACTACGAGAAGGGCGGGGCCTACAGCGCACACATTGACAATGCTGATGGAGATGGGCGGGTTGATGGCCGCGTGCTGACGGCGGTGCTTTATCTGAATGTCGGATGGGACAGGTACGCTGGTGGTGAGCTTGCAATTTTTCAGGCGGAGCACGGAGATATTGGTGATGCAAATTGCCAAGGCAAGTGGAACATGGTGCACCCAGAGGCTGGCACGCTCGTCTTTCTTCGAGCCGATCACGTGCTGCATGAGGTTCGAGGAGCGCATGCCGAACGTTACGCACTGAGCGTGTGGTTTTGCGGCCAGCACGCCGACTATGGTGGCTCTTAAAGCACTAGCTCGTGCTGCAGCCAGTGGTGAGCTTCAAAAATGCCACAGCTTAACAGGCTTAACATTAACTACAAGCGCAGATTGAAGATGCATGCCCAATGCGCAAGAGCGGCTTGATGGTGACCGTGGACCTCTTGGACATACTTCACGCCTGGAATGAAGCAACTGACGCTGTGCGTGCAGTGCTGACTGAAAGCTGGATCTCGTGTTTGGGCACAAGCCCCTCATACACACTGCTCAGCAAAGCATACAGGCCTTGTGGATGTGTTGCTGATAGCAGAGCAGAGACGGAAAGGGAGGCACGAAAATAGAGCGAGTGATTGTGGTTTTGGATGGTTCTGGGTCTCCCACTTTTAGAACCACTGTCAGCCTAATTTGGGCAACAGCTTTTTCATTCGACGGCTTCATGATTTGTTTACCAAGGATACATTTTGCTTTGCTCGCATCTCCATGTTCCTTCTATTGCACCTGCGCTCCTCTCGGCCGTTGCCTGCGTGACGCAAGAGAACTCCAAAAGCATCTTTATAAGAGCTCACCAAGAACACGTCAAGGACTACGCTTCATGGGGACGCGAAAGAGCGTTTTGGAGCCACTCCTCCGCGCACTACGTTTGTACTACACAAGTTCGAGCCACTGGAACTCCAGACGTTCTCCTCCACGTGCTACCTTTGTACTACTAAAGTCGATGTTCGAGCCGATTCGAGCCCCTGCACCTCCGGATGTTCTCGGCGTGCTATTTTTGCACTGCAAAAGTCGGCTTTTGAGCCACAAGCTCCGGACGTCCTCAAAAGTCGACTTTCGTGCCACCAGAGCTCCGGATGTTGTCCAAAAACACCAAAAGCAAAGACAGCGAACCCCGACGTCCAAAACCGATGACAGTTTCGCTTTGAACGAACCCAGACGTTCAAAATGGACAGTGTCGCAGAGGCGAGAGCGCGATTCGACACCATGCACGAAGTCAAAAGCATGTAGTAGTTTCATTTCGAAGAATCCGCATGTGCTGTGGAACAAATACGACTTTCGTCCACTCGAGGAATAGGGTATGCGTGTTGCACGCGCCGTACGCACCAACCTAACCCCTTTAACTTTGAACGTAAAAGCCCCATTGGCAGTTTGGGGAGAGACTACGCTCTGATGTGCTTTGCAGACGTTTCGAGGCGCATCGAACATCTAGAGATCGGCGCGGTTGATGCGAACGGCCTACATGAGAAGTGACTGGCGAAGTGATGCGCAAGTGAAGCCCCAGTGTTACAAGTACTGCATCGACCATTCTGCCAACCAGAAGCCCTGACGGTAGGAACGAGGCCAGCCACCGGGAAGCACGTGCCCTATGCCCACGCAGAATGTGCTGCCCTTGTGTTGTCCACGCATCTACTTGGCGGATCCGGTGCGTGCCGAATCGCCGGAAGCGTGGCGGGAACTGCCGGCTTGCACGCCTGCCCACATCGTTCTGCGACCGCAGGCGGTGCCGTCACCTGACCCGCCGACGGCAACCAGCCCTGGAACACGTGTGGCCCGCCTCCTGCAAGCCCGCCAGCCCTACGGCTGCCTTTTTGTTCCATTGCTGCATGCGGCCGTTGGCAGGCTACACCCCCAAAGCGACCAACAATGGGCGAGCCACGCAACGCCCGACACTTGGACGCGTTCCCTTCAGGCCCTTCGCTCGGCCGGTCCTATGCCATCACACTCGCTTACCCACGTGATGCATGCGTTGCAACATGTCGCGTTCGGCGAAGGTCGCCTGGTGCCTGTGCAGGAAGCCCAGTTGCTCCTCAGCCTTGCGACCGCTGCTAATCGCCGCCTTTGTACCGTCCTCGGAATGCTTGCTTCTAAAATGCATTGCGACTTGCAGGACCAAGTGTCTGGCACAACGAGGCACGACACGCCGCCCAAGCTCATGAAGATGGCAATGGAGGCAGTGACTGGGCTGTCCACTGATGCCTCCCACAAGGAGCCTGCGCAGTGCAGACTGCAGTTTTTGGTGGACGGTTCCAGGCGGCAAGGCAACATGAAACAGACATGTGATGCTTGTGTACTATGCATCTGCGAGGATGAGAAAGACCCCAAGGATACCGAAGGCACAGAAGAGAGCTCATCTTCGCCAACCGAAAGGCCACAGGTTCAAAGTAACCTGTCCGCGCTTGCCAAGGAGTTTAAGCCACGCCCTCAGCAGTCTTGAGGATGAATCCTTTCGGGGCAGCTAATGTCGGAGAATCTCGCATGACTTTCATTGCTATCAGGCCCATTGCAGGCGTCGAAGAGATGATCAAGAATGCCATGGAGGCTGCACGCCACCGGGCGAAGCATGAGAAGCGGGAGGTGGAAGAGATGATTTCGAACGCCATGGAGGCTGCATGGCACCGCGCGAAGCATGAGAAGGGGGAGTCACCGCCACAAGGCGCGCGCATTGTGCAATAACAAGTCTAACGCACTGCACGCGCGCGCGGTTTCGCACATTTGCTGCAATTAGCTCCTCCAGGCCACGACCAGTGGGGAAATC